AACCCCCCCCCCCCCCCCCCCCCCCCCGGGAATAGGCTTTTGGAAAAACTTGGGGGAATGGCACAAATCAGTTTGAACAACATTGTTCAATCTATCCAGCCCACAGGGTCATCTACACAGGGCAGTTCCTGCATGTAGGGTTCCCCAAGGTTCCAGAAATTTGGTGATACAGAAGTGGAGGCAGTGTTAATTCCCATAACAAGCTGCAATTAACTCTGCCACTATTCCCTGCTGTCAAATTTTATGGCCCTCTGATCAACCTCACGTGATGGATCTGGTCTGCAAGCCATAAATTGAGTACCCCTGGTTTAGAAGAACTTTTTAGGGTATGTACACAAGTTCAGGCCGTCTGTTGGGGCGGCACTCTACTTCATGATGCTGTACACAAAGCACCATGAGTTAGGCCCCTATTGAATCCAACACGGGTTCCCCTGTTGGATGTGGAGGCTCAGAGCCCACCTGCACTGCCCCAGGCCAGCAAGTGGGAGTGCTCCAGCAGCCTCCCTCCCCCACCCCATGCAGGCCTAGCCTGGCTACCCCCGCTGGGCTTTTGGGGGGAGCTAGGCTGGGCCCGTGAGGTGGCAGGGAGGGCTCTGTTCCCACCCCAGCTCCAGGCACAGTAGCCAGGAGGGTGATGCTGTCAGGATGCTTGTGGGGTGGTAGGAAGGGGCAAAGGGAGCCCCACACAGCATATGCCTGGCTCCCCCCAACTCTGCAGTGGGGTAGCTGGGGGGGGGCATGTGGTAAAGAGTGGCTCCCTTCTTCCCCCCCATGTAAGGTCTTGACAGTGGCAGAGGCTGCCACACCTGGAGCTGGGGCAGAGTGGGGGAAATAGAACCTGCTCTGCAGCCATGAATGTTTGTTACGTTACTGCTGTAGAGCACTTTTGTGCAGAAAAGGTAACTTGTGTAACTGCCCACTAACTGAATCTCAGTAGCACATAGCTAGACTTTTGAGAAGAAGTCTAACAATCAGCCTATTAGTCTTATCCAAAATGTTATCTCAGGTTCTCCTACCTTCTTTCAAGGGGCCTACTAGAAGTTCATGATGTCTTTAACCAAAGCGGTTAGTTGTCAGTTTTGAAACTAAGTAATTAGAACCTTTCACTTGCCTTATACAATAACTACTTGATTATAATCTAAAAGCAGTTGTCTGGCTTTCAGACTACCTCATTAAGAGTTAATTTATATGCAGGTTTTGTTTTTCCAAAAAAGCACACATGACTGATCCACCCTATCATAAATTTTGTAATGATAAGGTGGTGCTGGCTCATCTAAAATTCCATCCAAAGGTGGTGTCAGATTTTTACTTTAGTCATCTTAACAATCTTTTCCTTCCCCTTATTTTCATTGTTGTAAGACATTGTTATATGAGCTCAATCTCAATAGTGCTGCTCCTGTCCCCGGGGCAGTTTGCAACATATCGTAGATTGTCATTGCTAAAGCTTCCATGTGAATTTATTATTACTTTTTTTTTAAAGTTCAGATTACCTGATAGTGTCTGGCAGATGTCCTGCAGAGGCCTCTGGTTTGTGACTGTCTAGGAGTTAGGGCAAATGGGGAGGGTAAGAAACTTGCAAATTCGGGCATAAGCAATCTGGAGTGGGGGGTGTCTTTCAGATATTGTCATTCTTGTGGAAGGCCAGTGTGGGCATGGTGAGACTCTTTAGCCCTGTCTAAACTTAAGACAGCTGGCAGATATGGAAGAGCAGAACAGTTAGTTGCATTTTGGAAGAGAATGGTTTTGGAGTCTTTTTACTGAGTTCATCATCCACTAGTGTCAGAGTACAAATGAAATGTGAGCTGCTGTATGCTAACATTTCTGTCTTGCTCCTTTTCCTGATGATATAGGAAGGGGTCTGACAGTGGTGCTGGCATAAATTTAGAAATGTGACTTCAGGGACTCCTGAACCATTTAGTCCAGTCCTTTGCCTTTATAGACAAGCATTTAATAATTATTTGCACAAAATGGTCCTTCAGAACATCCTTTCTGGCCTCTCTCACATTCACTCGCATCAGAACAGCAAACAAAGCAGGCTAGTACAATTAAGGCAGAAAACAGAATAAACTGTTCTATCAGTCGTCTTATAGTTTGAAAATAAATGCAATCCAAATAATGTAAGGGTTGTTGATATTAATTGATGGTAATTCTTACATCTCTCTATCCAGTTGCACTTTGTGATTATTTTAAGTACAATTCCATTTGATATGGAATTTTACTTTTTTCCCCCTTTGTTGTTGCAGACTCTCCTACAGATTTTTGGTGTGGTGGGTGTGGCAGTGGCAGTGATTCCTTGGATACTCATCCCTTTAGTTCCACTTTTTATTCTTTTCATTTTTCTCCGACGGTATTTCTTAGCCACATCGAGAGATATTAAACGCCTGGAATCCACAAGTATGTCACTTGTATAAAGCTGGTTTAAGTTTGAACTACATTTCATTTCATGGAATGCTAAAATTCTGTACACTATCTGTTGATCAAGATTTTTTTCTTTTGTTCCTATTGTTTTGGATCTCAGCAAAAAAAATTCAAAATTTGTAGGTACCTGCTTAACTCCTGTTTCACCCCAGGGCTAATACTCAGGGAAGTTTAATTGGGCTGCACACTGAATAAAATTAAGGACCTACTTAACTGCTTTGCTGAATCCCAGGCTTAGTTAGCTAGCTGCATATAGTAACACTAGCAAATGGCTCATCAAGAATGAAGAGGGAGGCGGTGGGGACAGAGACGAATGTCCGGCCCCTGTCTACCCCCACCCCCCTGCCAGCACTTTGCGTTCAGTC